TTGAAGAAGTGGCAATGAAACTAGCCTATAAGCCCTTAAGCTCTATTAATGCTCGTATCAAGTGCATTGAAAACAGTGCACTGCTACAGCATAGTAGGAACATCGACTGGTTGATCACCTTACAGGAAGTTTTCGATTATGCATCAACGCAGAGAGCGGCCACTCTAATGAGTAATGTTGTTCCCTGTTTGCTAGCCTTACGCCGATGTCATGGCGTTGTTAATTTGCGACTTCTCGATCACTTCTTTTTTGACTAATTTATGTTGTTACCGTAACTGTTGCCCATCCTGTACATAGAACATCAAGGGATACTTTCCAGTTCTGAGCCATTTCAACCCCGTAGAATTAGCCCTCGGGTCTGGTGTGATTGCTTCCTGTTTAGACTTGCTGTACTATACCATGAAGACACTATTGTGTAAGCTTCTTTACTGTATTTCAACGCTACTTAACAGCATACATAGGTAATAGGCGTTTCAGAAAGTTCTGTCGTTTTCTGACACTCCACATTTGGATGCTTTTTACTTGAAATCTAGAGAAACTGCCATCGGTATGGATACCATCTTGAAGAGCTTTCTCTGCTCTATCCAGCATTTAGCTCAGCTTTGTTCTAAAACATTTTCTCACAACTCGAGCTTGACCATTGAGGAGGTTCTGCCCAACCTGGACGTATATGGTTTGTGGAGCCAAGTTATACGGAAGTAGCTGGAAAGTCCAAAAAATTTGATAGGGGCGTGCCGCGACAAATCACCAATTTGAAAGGTCGTTCATCAATTTCTAGCTTGTTTTATGTGATGTAAGCGACTCGCCTTTCTACTATTTGCGACGTACAATGAAGAAGGATTCTTTTCTACAGCCCACGAAGCTTTGCTGAATAGCTCGACGGCGATCAAGCTCTACAAACCTTGCAAAACTTAAACTGTGCTGAAGGAGGGTTATGGCAACTTTCATCAAGTCAGCGGCTGGCCAAGTTCCCCGTATCAGGTGGAACTGTTACAGTGGAGGAGAACTCTTAACATTATGTCAAAATTCACCAAAATCTTCAAAATACGGGTTCAGCATTTCTCATTATAAAGGGACGGGCACATCTCTGATAAAAGGGCGGACACATCTGCACAGTTGTCCTACACGCATGTCGCACAACCAACCCTGCACAAGTTGGTCCAGCTAGGCTAAGAAGGGGTGCTGCAGATATTCTACTCAGTATACCTCTGGCTATCACTATCACTTTTTTCGGAGACCTCGATAGTTCCCTTGAAGAGAAATGCTTCAAAAACCAACCGATGCAAAACACCTTCCCTCAGCTTACCGCATCAGGACTCCAGTAACTGAAACAAACTTAAAACGTCTTCTTACCAGCGCAAGTTAGCGCAGTCAAAAAAAATTTTATTCAAACCGAAAGTTGTTGTGGAAACGAATACGATGAAATCTGGAATTCGGTCGCTGAAAACGACAGAACTTCTGAAACGCGTAATACAGTGATTAGAGCATTTAATTAGATTGATTAGGAGTACCTGAAAAAGAGACAACTGCAAGTTTCTTGTGCGAATGGTCGCCTTATCGACTTGGGATCTTGCTTTTGTAATGAGCCATGAGTAATGTATGAGTAATGAGTCTTGTATATTTTTCGACTTTCAGGAGTAGTGAATCCCAACCACTGCATTGAGGAATGGATAGACGACCGAGTTGACGTTGTATTTTATGAACGCTTCTTCAATTGGGAAATTGCTGCCTCTAGTTTCTTGGTTTGATATTAACTAAATTCAAGCGCGGGGGAACGTCAACAGAATCGACAGACGCCAATCATGCGCGAGGGCGGAGCCTCCATGTACGAGTGTGTCTATATCGACTTACGAGGAGAATTGCGACCCCATACCCTCCTCCCTTGACTAGTAGGATGTCTACAGTGTGGAACTGAAAGTGGACAGACTCAATCCACCAAAGTTAGATGACCATGCCTTTCTAAAATACAATGTTCATCATTTAACCACCTGCGATTCATCATTATTTGTTCTTCGGGAATTTCAGAACTTAAGAACTTTAAATTCATTCTTTTCGCGGTTTCCCTAAATTATATCTTGAATTATTCATACCAAATTTTAACAAGTAGCTGAAGTGTTATCGAAAACGAAAGCTTTCTTTCTTCTACCAGCCGTTAAAGGAAGCGATTACGATAGATTTCACAGGGGTTTGGAGTGGACGTGAGGGTCTCAGTAATACACCAATGGCGAAAAAAGCAAAGAAATCCGTCAAAAATAAGCAGAATAACACCTCTTTGATTGCCCTTCATTTTCGACCACCGATGAGCGACGGTGAAGAACGACGTTGTTCAGACGTGTTAACCCCGATAGCCGCCATCATGCCAACAAGCATAGTGTGTTTTGATTGATAAGGCAATACGTGGGCAAGTTGGAAGATACAGCCGCTAGAAGGGAAATGATCATCCAAAATGAAAAGCCAACAGCAAACAGTCCATCCAGATCATCAACAAACTAGTGGGCGTCACGTCGCATAGGGCGGGGCGTCACACGGGTCCTGCTCAGCAACCACAGCACCTTTCGCCGTGGGAGGGCCACACATCGCTTCCTTGGCAGCCAAGTAATTGCTCCGTGTGGACGCAGGTTCTCCCCCGATGCGAAAATTCCTTATCGTAATCGCTTCCTTTAAAAATGATTTGCGAGTACTAACTATGTGCTTACGAGGCAACAGAGGCTCGCCACCTATTTCCAGCTGAATTACTGGGATCTAATGAACAAAACTGTGCATTGAGTCATGTCTACCGCGTCTTGCCAACCCTTCTGGACTCTCTGAACAACGGAACTTGAAATGAATCTTTTGCATTTACGCTTTTCTGCTTGCTTTTTCCGAAATAAAGAATCTGGGTGTGACCAGTGCAAAAAAAAGCCTCGACGCGAACCGCCAGCCATCTGGCGACAAAACGCTGGTTACAGAACCTATCCCAAGGTATTTTGCCGTGATGACTGCGACACTAGGTTAACTCGAAATAATTCTTTTAATATTTGACTAAATGGCAGGAATAAGACTTAAAAATAACTATTGCTTACTATCACATGGTAATCGACGCTTATACTGTCGTATAATTATTGACTAAAACAAACTAAAAAACTGTCTAACTACAAACTGCCTTCTGATTTGTTTAAAGGATGTGTGAGCGATTCATCCCAAGCATCTTTTTTGACCACATTCAAAAATTCAGCGTGTTGAGAGCATGTAAGAGCTGAATCACGGTTGCGCATCGAAGCAAATACCTCAATAGTTTGGCTTACAGCAAAAGGAAGAAGTCGAAACTTTGACTCTCAATTCTTTTAGACATCAGAATAATTCAAGTTATTTGTCCAGGAAACACACCTAATCAGAGCAAAGATAGGATCACCTTACTGGTCGTCGTAGTTCTTTATTTTGCGCTGTTCAGAGACACTGTGAGTGAAACTTAGTAGACAAATTATATTCATGTTTTAATCACAAAGCCCAAAAAGCTACATGCTTATTATAGATTAGATAAGGAACAACTACAATATTAAGATAGCTAATGAAAGTGACTGTATCCTTGCTCCGAAGTAGAACACGTAGGGTTCAACAATTAGAAATTCCGCTGAACAGTCATTCACAATCACAGTCATCGGAATGCTCAGAAAGTCCCACGCCATTAGTACATCCGATATCTGGCAATGGACACGCCCACCCGCCGCGCCGTCGTGGCCACGCCTACTGGCGCGGCGATCCCATCGATTCTGTTGACACGGAGCCAATTTAAGTTCTTAACTCAAGGAATGTTGTATTCTTCTGGCACTTTTAGATCCGCAATAGTGAATTTGGAAGAAGTTTTCTGAAGGGCTGGGCAAATCGCGAATTTACGCTCCACAACAAATGGCATGGCTCTGACAACGGAGTTCTCCATGTATATTTTTCTTTTGGTTCATGATAACTTCTTCACAGAACACCACCACAATAGGTTGGGCTGAAGCGGTGCACGAAATACTCGAAACGAAGTCTGTCGCGCTGCGAGAAGGCAGAGACGCAGATGGATCAGCGAACGAGTATAGTGCTGTACTACAGTACATTTCATTTAAACCCACCCTAAATCGCTACGGTACAGTTGCGCGAGTCCTCCGCTGACCCGTGCACATCTCTGCCATTTCGCCGCGCGATGGGCCTCCTGTAGGGTTCCCAACTGCACGTCCGGCCTATTCAGTCAGGAGATATTCTGCTCACGGCAAGGGGCAAGGTCGTGAATGCAGTGACCAGCTTGTGAAATCGTCAAGGTATTGACATTTTTCGTAAACGAAGGTGGAAACTGGCAAGAGGACAGTGGGTTTCCTCTGTTCGGGCTTTCACAATGCTACGACAAAGATCAGAATGGCATTCACAAGTGACAGTTTTGAAAAAAGGTTCCAATGGTATAGCCTACTCTTTCACGAATTTTAAAGAATTCAAGGATTCGAGTGAACGTCCAGTATTTGTTCAAGGTGCCTACTTACCACAGCTTTGCTTCACTGACCCCCGATTTTCCTAGTTCCGTCTCTACTATCTACCATAGTATAGTTCAGCTCTCATGTCATAGACACTGTGTTCCCGATCGTGCAGGAGAGGGCCAACTGCTACAAAGAATGGCGCAGTGCAACAAGTTATGAAACCTACATAGCTCTCGTGTCATGTGCAAAGCAGGTAATTGGAGCAACAAGATTATGGCCAGGAAAGCTTCGAATATACAGAAGAGCTCATGGATGGGCTCGAGACTATTTCTTGCCCGCAGCGCAAGTAATTGATTTTCTTTGTAGATCGGAATTGGCTTGAAACATCTAACAATTGTACACGAACAAACAAATTATCCTATCCTGTAGCGCACCCTATTCAAATTTCGTTCCAAAGTCCATGGAGTAATTTCAAATATGCATTTTTTCTAACACGTTTGCTAGTCAAACCAGTAATAACATGTCCGAATTTTTTGTCTTCTAGAAGGAATTGATGTCAAAGCATCCGCTAACTCATCGCGCACTGTTCCTGTCTATTCGACTTAATTATAGTCAATCAAAGAAGATTACATCCCCCAGCGTTTCGCCCTATGTGTTGTTAACACGCTGGTGGGATGCTTGGTAGGGTAGCTTACAAAATCAAAATTTTTGAGCTACTGGCTTCCGAAAAAGATCAACGATACGAGACTTCTGGCCAAATAATAAAGGTAATTATCCTCTCACAGAAGCATCGAACAATTCGACCAATAATTCGTCTTATACCCAGCACACAACACGTAATAACTTGAAGGCCATTTAAGTGCAAATTTGGGTCAAAGCGGCTTAGATGCATTACTTGCTCGTCTTTTCATTCCCGTTATTATCAATCGCATTTACACAAATGTCGCTATACATCAGCTAAGCGAGCTCGCTCACTCAGCGGCCGGACATATCAAAATGAACTGTACTGACGACCGTAATTCCAAATTCTATTACAAAACAGCTTCGAAGCTGAAGTACTATGGAGACCCACCTTCGGGGGCGAGGTATTCTCTAAAAGCACTGTTTTTATGAAAAAAGAACTCAATACTCGGTTTGGGGAAGGCCTCCTCTAGGAAAAAATTTGTGTAGGAGAGCAAACATCTTGAGGTCTCCAGCATGAAAGACGTGGTCGGAAGCACGCCTCGCAAGGGAGCGGGGCGTTCTGAGATCACAGTGTTTATCTGCTAGTTCCTTAATTCGTTTTGAGCAGCCTTGGAACGCGACAAAAGTGGCAGAGTTTAAGGAGAGGGTGCGCTGAATGTTAATCATGGCCAGCACAAGGAAGCTATAATTCTGTCCCGTAGACTGAGAAAAAAGTAGGCTGAGTTCGCAATCAACAAGGATAACTACTGTAGTGGCTGGCCTTGCACAGAAGTGGACGTAGTTATTCACGAAGCTTTAGGTGGGTTCACCAGGTCATGAAGAAGTCATAGAAACAGTCAAGGCAAAAGTGTTTAGGGTTGAGGGAAGGAGGTAGACTGCACTCGGTAGGCGGGGCTCAGACCGTAGTGGGCAGAGTTATCCAGGAAACATCATAAATGGATTCCAAGAAGTCATGGAAACCGGGAAAATGAATAGGGGTCGGCGAAAGGAAGGAAGACAACCTCTATTGGTGGGCGCGGCAACCAACCAAGTGGGCTGAGTTCGCTACTAACTTATAAATCGGTTCCAAGAAATCCCGGAGAGTGGGGAAAAAAGAGGATAGAGGTCACAAAGGGAAGAGATTGACTGCTCTTGGTGGGCGAGGCATGTGCGATGGGTGGATCTTTGTCCAGAAGAATTATAACTAGGTTTCAAAACTTTCATAAAGACTGAGAAAAAGTGGAATGAGTTGGCGACAATTAAAGTTCTACATTGGTGGGCGGAGGCATGACCGAAATAGGTGCTGTTGTCCACGAAGCATTATAACTGGACTCCAAGGAATCATGGATACCGGGAAAAGGGGTCAAGGTCGGTGAGCCGAAAGGAGGCCAGTTAATACTATTAGGCGTCTGTGATGAAATGGGCGGATTTTGCCACAATGCTTCATAATTCGTTCCCAAAAAGTCTTGAAGCAGAAAAAAGCGTTAGAGTTCGTCTATGGAAGGGATGTGAACATCTATAGGTGGGCGGTCTATGCACCAAGTGAGTGGAGTTTTCACAGAAACCTCCGTAGATCGGTTTCACCATGGAAAAATACGAATCAGAAAAAAGGTAGATTTGGAGGCCATTGCTACGGGTGGGCGGGGCATGCAACAAGGTGAGCGGAGTTTGCTGACCGACTTGTGATTTATGAGTTATGACTATAACTCGGTTTCTAGAGAGTTCCAGAGATCGGTAGAAAGTGGTGCGAAGGGGAGCAAGTTACTTGAACCACCAAACCCACAGAAGTGGCGTGTATGGCGTACAACTAAAAATCAACGGCGAATGTCATTTCTTCTCTCTTGATCTTCCCTTTCATTTAGGTGGTACGTACGAGCGACTTCATGTTTCACCTAATGAAATCGAATAATATCAGTGATGAGGTTAACATCTTCACAAAAATGCCGGTTCTCGAATCTTGTGGTATTGGACTGAATGGATGGCATTGGGATTTAATCGAAGCGAACGAACCTTCAGGATGTGAAGTTGGTGGTTTGAAGAAATGTGTTCAAAATAATAATATAAGTTAAATTGTAGAGAATCACTGGCATATATGGAGCATGAGGAAGCGGAACTTTTTCCTAAGGAGGGCAAACAGGTTTTCTGGTTGACCATGCCTGACATAGGTGATTGTTATCCGGATTGTGGAAAAGATACGTAGAATACGATTTTTTTCGACAGATCCATTTTAGATACATGAGTTATCAATATTTATTCGATGTTTTATCGCGGAATATCCGCGACTTACTTTGAAGTTAATCTTTAGCTATTTGTTGTTTGTTAAATAAAAGTGTTTCGTTTCTGACGAAGTACCAGATCATGAAGAAAAACTTTGGAGTGTATGGTAGAACATATTGTCGATATGAAGATAAGAAAGAAGCATCTATCAAGCAAATCATCAGTGATCTGGTGAATGATACCGTATCTTATCCTTCTATAGAGCCTACTCAAATGGGATAAAGTTCAGTTATAGCACTGAGGTACTAGTGCGCGTGCAAAAAAAGCGCTCCAGTCTCTGTGCTCCAGTCTCTGTGCTGTGCGAACTATTTTATTTTTCATGGAAAAGTTCAAATAAATTTTGCGACGAGAACGTTGGGTATATTTGGTGCTATTTTCTCTGTTTTATTCTTCTCAAACTTCGCGCTCAGAACCAATTCCTAGTGGTTAAGAGGGTCGCACACGGTGGGCAAGCCCTCCCTTGTACCTCAGCAGCTCGCCAAGGCTTCCCATCGTGCAACTACACCCCTCCTGCGCACCTCTTCAGGAGGTGCGGACCATTCCCCCCGGGGACTAAGGGGACTTCCAGCCGGCCGCACACGCGGAACTACACTGGCTGGGCACAACGCGTCCTGACCCATAACCTTAGTACAAATGCCCCACGGCTACACGTACAGAGTTAGGGTAAAACCACAACATTATACAACACAACACATATATTTACTAATACGTTTATTATATACGTAGTATTATATACGTAGTACATCCATTGCTCGTCACCTCACTCATGTCACCTATTTAAACCCCATTCGCTCGGATGTTTACACTTCTCCTCTGCTGCAGATCACGGGAGCAGGGGAGGGACCACGACCAGTTAACGGGTGGCGCTCCGCAACCTTCCAGCTCGGAGGGGACATCCCTCCTCGCCTTCCGGGGCCTCCTCGCGTTGCCCGGTGAACACCGACCAACCCCTGGATACCAGCATTGGGACACGTATTAGACATTCATTATATAGCACCTCAACTGCTAGGGGGCTCAACGCCATTCAATACACTCACCTGACAGCTAGGTAGACATAGGGGACGTCCGAGGCAAGGCAGGTCACCGCTCGCCGTAAGGCACACACGACGACTGCCCGCTGGCACTGACCGTAGGGGGCGGAGCCAATGCGCGCAACTGGCGCATTGCGCGGCACATTGCGCATTGGCATCCGAGCACGAATGGGCCGGGGCGCGCGGTGCGCCCACGGGCACCGTCGCATCCGCGACAACGGAGAAACCAAGCTGCCTTGGAACGCTGCATTGTAGTGAATTTTTCTCAAAATAGAATTCAAAGGCGTGGTTAACGGTGAAAAGACAGCCCATTACTGAATCAATGTAGGTGATCAGTGATTCAATGATGAAAAACCGAGAAAAATGGCCAAGGACACGAGAAATTGGACTGGTTTTTTCCCGTTGATCTATTTGTGCGCTTGTGCAATCGCACCTTGACGCTCACCACGCCACATGCCTGCTATAGGCCGATGTCATAGTTTGCGAATCGAGCGATTCGCTAGCGAATCGCTGGATCCGAGCGTTGCGCCAGCGAATCGAACGTTGCACCAGCGAATCGAACTTTGCGCCAGCGAGTCGAACGATGTACCAGCGAGTCGAACTAGGTACCAGCGACTCAATAGTGGCGACCCAACCATCAAAGGAGGCCCGCCACCTCCAAGCAGTGTTCACTGTCAAGTCTCGCCACTTTCAAACAGCGTCCACTGTCAAGTGACACTGTTTGAAAGTGGTGGGACTTGAACCACATTCGAGTACTACACCATGAAAACCTCGACCGTTGGCGGACGATGAGGACGGCCTCCAAATTAGGGGATCCTCCAATTTTGGAAATTTTCCTAACATGAATTGACCCTGACTATTGCTGAACGTGGCTGAGGTCAACCAAGAGCAAGCGCAGAGCGTCTATGGTGAACTTTTGCAGTTAAAAATTTGTGGCGGTAAAATTTGAACTAAATTTCAGAAATAGCTGAATAAAAATTCCGGAATCGAAAATCAAGTGAGAAAAACTCCATTTTCACTCCATGTATATGCTGCCCTTAACACAGTATTATGTACTATATGTATGATAGCACATGACTGAAAGTCCGCAAAACTGTAACACATGCACGATTTCTTAGTTTTTTTGATGCTATCAGGTGTCAACTGGCGCCATGTCTGCAATTACGACATATCTTCATTGCGGAAAGCAATTTTAGCTCCGATGGACTGTAGCAGGACCTCTGTTTTGTATTTCTACGAGCGAACGGGAATTCAATGTATCATATTTATTATCCAATGACCGCAGAAGTTGCCGGGCACATGTTAGAGACTGTCAGGCATTTGAGGATTTTGTGCCGGGGTATAGCAAAGCGTACACCGGGCATCCTACTTACTATAAAGCGCTTCGTCTGTCGTCTGTCTCGTCTGTCTGTCACGAAATTCCCTAGCTCCTCGGGATCCGCCTGGAGGGACCGGGTCAAGTGTGGGATGGGTGGGCAAGGTCTCACGTAATACAAAACACACATCAGCTAAGCGGAGCCCCGCCCACAGAGGGCGTGGCGTGCGTCGAAATGAATTGTACCGAAGACCAAGATTTCGATTTCAGTGACAAAACGACCTCGAAACTGGGCCAAAAAGTGGGTAAAGGTGTGCATTGGTAAGTCACATCGAATTAGGGAGACCCACCCCCGGTGGGCGGGCGTTCTCTAAAAAAGCAGTGCTTTATGAAAAATTTCATAACTCGGTTGGGAGAAAGCCTACAGAGCAGAAAACAATTTGGTGTAAGGGAGCAATGTCTAAGGTGTTTCCTGCATACATGACGTGGGCGGAGGCCCGCCCAGAATGGGCGGGGCGCGCTCTGAAGTGTACAGCATTTTCTACAAGCCTCATAATTCGGGTCGGGGAAGTCTTAAAGAGCCGGAAAAAGGTGGATAGAGGTGGGTGGAGGAGTGGAGGCCAGCTGTCATCGGTGGGCGGGGCTTGACCAAAGTGGGCGGAGTTTGCGACGAAAATTCATAACTCGGCTCCAAGAAGTCCCGGAGGCCGGGAAAAAGGTGGGTAGAGGTGGGTGGGAGTGGAGGTTAACTGTCATCGGTGGGCGGGGCTTGGCCAAAGTGGGCGGAGTCTGCGACAAAATTCATAGCTTGGATCCAAGAAGTCCCGGACGGAAAAAAGGTGGGTAGAGGTGGGTGGAGGAGTGGAACTTAAATACCATTAGTGGGCGGAGCATGGCCAAAGTGGGCGGAGTTACCCAGGAAAATTCATAACTTGGTTCCAAGAAGTCCTGGAGAACGGGAAAAAAGTGGATAGGTCAGCAAAGAAAGAGAAGTTAACTGCTACGGTTGGGTGGAGCGTGCGCTAATATGGGCGGAGTTTGCGCCGAAATTGTAATTCGGCTCCAAGAAGTCCCGGAGGCAGGGAAAAAGGTGGATGGAGGTGGGTGGAGGAGTGGAGCCCAGCTATCACCGGTGAGCGGGGCTTGACCAAAGTGGGCGGAGTTTGCGACGAAAATTCATAACTCGGCTCCAAGAAGTCCTAGAGATAGGGAAAACGGGGTTAGAGGTTGGCGAGGGAAAAGAGATCAGCTGCTTCCAAGAGGTCCCAGAGACCGGTGAAAAAAGGGGTAGAGGTCGGCGAAAGGAAGGGGCCAAAGAGTCCGGAGACCGGAAAAGAGGATAATGGTTGACGAAGAAAAAGAGGTTGAAAGCCGTCGATGATGGAGCGGATAGAATTTAGCTGAGAATTCAGATATTCGTGGTGTATCAAGCCAAATTTGAAAATTTTCGTCGCACCATCAAAATTCGCCGCAGATCTGTGTTGCGCGCGCAGTGCAATGCTACCATCTATTTCGGAAGGACGCGAAGAGCGTCGAGTGCAGACCAACACACCAAGCGACGACAGGCAAGAAAAAACGGAAAAGCCGCGTTTTACTTGGTCGTCGTCGCTTGTGGTATACGGTCTGCACTCTACGCTCACATCGTCTTCCGAAATAGAGTATTCAAAGTCAGCCGTTGTCGTGGGTCGAGAGCTGTCGCCCTTGTAACCCTACGACATGACCATCGAGGTGGTTCGGGGCCCCTCTGGCCTCTCCCAGGCACACGTCGTTCCTACGGGCCCCTTCCGGGCGACCGGCTTCCCACATGCCTGACTTCGGCACCCCGGGGCCTCAAAGGGCACCGATCCCAGGAATGGGGGTTTTGGGTTGCGATAAGGGACACCTGCGGGAGCACGACCAGCCATAGCCCGGGCATTCCCCCCCCCCACCCCGAGGGCTCCTTGCTCCGGCGACAATCCCACAACAGTAGTAGCACATGAATAGATCTATTGCGCCTAAGTTGGCCCCAACCCCGAAGCTTGCAATGGATATAGAACACAACAACATAGATTGCGTTCTTATTGGCCTTGACTCATTGACGACGCAGTCAGACTTTCTGTCGGGCGTGGAGAGGCCCAGCCAACGCCACAGGATGGGGGAAGGGGGTTAGAACCAGGAAGGGTCAGGTCATGGTAAAGACATGAACAAGTCAAGAGTACAGCAGGGAAGACCTGTCTCTGCGCAAACGTAGCCTGGTGTCCCAATCACAACAAAGAAATAAACAGAGCACCACCCCCGTTTGACCATTACCCCTGTTTGAGAAAACCAGAAGCGCATCAAGTGCAGACCACACACCTGCAAGTGACGACGGCCTCCACAAAATGTAAATGTTTTCTGCCAATGAAATGATTAGCCTGTTGCAGTTGTAGGGTCTATCCGGTAAGAGGGGGCATTGCGGTGCACAGTCTGCTCTAATGCCAGTTTGGCTCAAGGAGTCCTTTAAAGTTACGAAGTGCTATCAGCTTTTTTCCTACGTTGTTTCTTCTGGTTTTTGTATAATGTATGTGTGTCTTGTGCTTTGTAACATAAACGTCAATGAAAAGTAATATTTACCTAGTGATCAGCTAGGACTAAGCCTAGGAAGGGGGAGGAAATCCCTCCCGAGAAAGCGAAGATTGCTCACGAACCCGGGGTTTTCCCTCCTTCTGAGGCTTAGTCCTAAACCTTATACTAGGGAATATGCTATCCGTGGTTTTAAACTTGTTGAGCGCTCTAACGGCTTAAATAGCATGGCCTTTCTCTCCTTCCTCAGTAAACTTGTTGAGCACTCTAAACAGCATCCCCCCTAACTGAACTAGACCCCAGTTGTATTCTATCAGTTGTCACTAATTACAACTCCCATTTACCAACTATCAGCTATCACTATGAATCACTAGTTACCAGATTTCACTTAGAAGTCGTCGTCGTTTGTGGTGTGTGGTCTGCACTTGACGCGCTCTTTTTGAAACAGGGGGCAGTCAGCACATATCTTTATTGCCGTACCCGATAAACTGTTTTTTGCAATCCTCCTGTTCTCCGATTTGGCGGAAGATGTGGACGTGAGATGTGGCTTAGGCGTAAACAAGCATCCAATTGTTCTGCGTACAGTTTCGCCCGAGTTGAGCGCGTACGTGAGAAAATTTTTCACATGTCGCGCGCGACGCCGTGAGCGACAGCTGACTGATTCTTCGGCGGTTGTACGGCGCTTCCTCCAGCGTATTCGTTTTCCGTTTGAATACGCTTTATATTGTGAAGTATTTTCATTCTTTCAGGGCTTTTCTGAATTGAATCGATGTTGAAAACTTTACCGTTGATAGCTGTACGTGTGCTTTCGAGAAGATCTTGCAATGTATGGATGAAGCAGCTTCGTTCAGCTTCCACTCACTTTGGATATGAACAAGTCGATGAGGCCGAAAAAGAAAAGCGAGGTAAGGTCTGAGCTGAAGAGCAGTACAATTTTTTCCGTTTTCTCAAAGTTAATTCAATGGAGGCAAGAGGTCTGAGCCTAGTTATACTGTAGCGAAATGGTTCCGGCTTTTTTTTACCGAAGGTTGCAAGAAGTAAACTTTTTAACGGCACTGTAAGACTGATTTAGAAATGTTCAATATTCCTTTTCTTTATTTATTTCGCTCCGATGGCTCTTGCTTCCCACTAGTTGCGTCATCGATAGCAATTCTTTGAGTCAAACAGCGGCCCTTTGTAAAATAAAAGAATGAATTTTAGTGGGTTATAAGTGCAGTATCTTCACTGAAATGGACCGCTATCAGTTTTCAGTGCACCATGTTTTTGCCAATGTTGCTAAGAAGTATGACTTAATGAATGACGCGATGAGTTTTGGAATCCACCGATTGTGGAAGGACTACTATGTTAGTGGCCTTCCTCTCACACCCGACTCGAAGGTAGTTTTTACCAGTCTATTACATTATGGCTGCCAATTTGTTACACAATCTTGTTCTTGTCTCATCTTTGAAGTTTTTCTTCGATGACTGGGTTTTATTATCTGGCAACAAAACTATTTGGTTCTTCGACGGCCAGTTCGCCTTTTTTCGCTTCGCTTCTTAGCTCGTCTATACTTTTAAGCTTCTAGGTTCTGGACGTTGCTGGTGGGACAGGGGATATTGCGTTTCGCTTACAAAAAAGGATGAAGACAGGCAAGGTCACTGTGGTGGATATTAATCAGAATATGCTCGACGTTGGTCAGGAACGTTCAAAGAAAGATCCATCAGTGAGTTTGGTTACTTATTTGCCTTTCTGCCATCAGGCTTTTCCTCCTGTATCTGAAACGCATTGGTTCCTTACTTTTCACTGTTCTTTTTTACTCTAAATTATAGGTTGATCCCGAGAAGTTTGAATGGATTTGTGCGAATGCAGAGAGTCTACCATTCGACGAGAATTCTTTCGATGCGTACACCATTTCATTTGGAATCCGTAACTGCACGCATGTAGAAAAGGTAGTACTTAATATATGGCTGAGGCTACTCCTCGATTTTATTTTCATTCAATTGCATTAGTATTGTGGAACTTTAAGGTTGTGCAAGAAGCCTTCCGAGTTTTGAAACCAGGAGGTTTGCTGGCCGTGCTTGAGTTCAGCGCTGTGAATCCTCTTCTCAAACCTATCTATGATGCCTACTCTTTTAACGTTATTCCTGTCATGGGAGAGGTACGCTATTACTGTTCGACGACAAATTGTAGTCTCTGAAAGTTTCTTTTCAGGTTCTGGCTGGTGATTACAACAGTTACAAGTACCTCGTTGAGAGTATTCGAAAATTCCCTAATCAGGCACGTTTTTGTTCGACTCTCAATATACGCTATCACGTTGGTTTCCTATTCGTGGCTGATCTTTACAACTTTCGTCATTTTGATTTTTAGGAGGACTTCGCTGCAATGATTAGAGGTGTTGGTTTCGAGATGGTCCGCTATGAAAATCTCACATTTGGTGTGTGTTCTATTCACAAAGGAAGGAAGCCACGCAAGGCTTCACAAAAATAATTGTTTGTTATGCGATGACGTTATCATTTCATGCTAATTTTTAGGTCATAAGTTAGGTATCTAACAAGTTGAAATTTTCACAATGAGAGATAGTATTTGATTTGTTGATTTCTTATTTTTCAAGATTTTCTGTATATTTCATTTTGTTCGGTTTGGACAGATTGCGGGTATTGTTTTGAGTTTTGTTTTCGTTCTAGGAATTTTATGATTGTTTAGTGCTCAACAAAGTCATTATTATTTTATAAGATGTTCGAATGTATCAGTTCCTCCTTGAGATATTTGCAATTCCGTTCATTTTGAAAAGCCTTGGTTTCAGTCAATTTCTCTTAAAGCGCTGAAAGTTCCAGCTCCATGGTAGCGGCACCTCCAATAAGATTGCTCTTCGCAGTTTCGCGAAGGCCGCTTTCCTTGACGTCGTATCGGCACATAAGGTGAATACTTGAATTTTTTGTGATATTTTATAGATGTTTTTGGGCTTCTGGGCTGAAGTATGGACATAGTTTCAGTTTCTATGTTGCTAGGTTTTAACCAGGTTTCTTGTCGTGAATGTGCCTCGCTATTCCTGGTTTTCACTTCGAAAAGCTTTGCACAAACACTTCTGCTCGATGAACCAAGTCCTGCGTTCTACTAGGATTAACTTTGGTTGCGAAAACATGCGTTTGATAATCCAATTATCGTGAATGTAAACACTCAGAGAGTGCTTACTCAAATTACGTATTTCACAGAACTGTACGTTGATATGTGACTCAGTAATCTGTCCACCTCAGTTTATTTCAAGCTATTTATTAGTATCCTTTCAATGTCAACACCTAACAAGGATAGGTATAGCGCGTGCTGCTAACGTAGATGCTGAAAACAATTACAGGTTCCGTTCCAGTAATCCGGCCCCTAACACGAAGGATATCGGCAGATTTGTTGCTCCTATCACATCAGATGCCTTATACGACCCTGGCCAGGTGCTCTTATGTATTTTTAATTTCTTCTTAAAATTGTTGTATTGGGAACAAAATCGCTCTCAAACCACATCTTCTTACAGTTATTCATTCACAAGACCTTTGCCTACAAAGGAGTTGTTGTTTGCGCTTTCAAATGCAGATTCCAGGAAAAGAAGAGCAGTACTAGGTGTGTTTTTCGTTCCGCAATACGTCCTTCCTCTCCAAAAAAAGCTAACATTTTCAGTGATCGTACTGTTTCACAAGGAAGGTATTACCAGGTATTGATTGATCGAGGTGACTGGAGTCATATGGGTTTTCCAGTTGATCTCACCTCATACTTAATGGACGGCACGAGTCGTGGGGAAAAGCTTCTCACTCTTATCAAGTATGTCATAATATATTGTATTCGCTAGTCATAGTACCATTACCCTTATGCCGTGAATTACAGTGGTATGGATTGTGTTGCACATAGCGACATTCTTCCGTTTAATGCAGTTGATCGAGAGCCTTTAGACCACGATTTGTTCCATCGAATTTTTGATGTCATCGATTCTCCTGAAGGTAGTAAGTGCTCTTTCTCTCAATCATTATCAGTGTATTTTTACATAGAGGTTGCAATTGCACAATATTTCACTCAAAGGCTAGTGTATTTGAAAAGTTTGTTTTGCGAAGGACATCATTGTGTATATTCCCTTGGTCATAATGCGTTAACTGTTACGTTATTCAGGCAAAGAGGTCAAGATTACTATGAAGGCGAATCTTTTTGAAAATTACATGGCGTCGCAAAGGTCATGGTTAGCTCCAAGGGATGTTTACAGGTCTGTAGCTTTCCTGTGATGCTTCTATTTGATTTGAATGATTTATTGCATTTGGTGTGTTCAGAGAGGTCACAGAAAACATCGAGGTGACAGTGACCACATTCTATCTTGGGAGCAGTATGAGTGCTGGGCAACTGAGGCATATGTGGCGGTACGTCATCAGGTATGGCCCTTTGGACTACAGTCTGTATCGTGTATGCTCCGTCTTAATTAATTCCTTTAGGCTTGAAAACCACGCCCCACAAAATCCAGTTATACTTCGCGAACGTTCTTTAAAGGTTTACTCGCTCAATAACATGAATCAAATGCATGGTCATGGAGTGGTCGGGAAGGTAGCGTTCATTCTTGACACTGTCCCGCTTCTTTATTGAATTCAATACACTGCTATTAAGTAAACATACTACCATTATATAGGAAAATGTATGCATGGTAAGGATTACAGTGCTGTATTAGAAGAATGTCATGTAGACGGTTCCTCAAATCCACTTTATCCTTGCGGTCATTGCAATTCACCACCCGTTCTCTTAACCTTACCGCTTTATTGCTGCGCCGAGTTGGCATGACTCCCATTCGCATTACCCTTGGCCGGACGCATAGTCGGTCGGACGACAGCAACGACTCGCAAGTGTCGCACAGCATTGGGTGCGTATCGATCTGCGACACATGCGACACTTACGACCGCTGCTGTCGGACGACAGCAACGATCGTAAGTGTCGCAGATCAATACGCAGCTACTATTCCACACTACAGTGGGACTTTCGAAATACGATCACGCGCAGTCACGTGTTGTCTGGGTTAGCATTGGGTGACCGCGTCGCCTTCCATTTGCGACCGCGGTTTATGCGACACTTGCGGTCGTTGCTGTCGTCCGACCGACTATGCGTCCGGCCTATGAGCGCTCACCGCCGTTTAAACTAGCCGCACCTTACGCTAAGGGGTGAGTGTCGGTGTTCCATCACATGACTGTCCGTAAATACACCGGCAATACCCATATGAAGCCCCAAGTTTTTTCCTGTGTTAGTCAGTATTGCCAGAAGGGTTATTGTGATAGCGAACTGCAAATGTGTGAGAGAGAGTTTGACCGTTAATAGCTCATGGGGTGTTAAAAAAAACACATAGTTAATCCTAAACGGAGTGCCGAGGTTAGACACTTCGGTCCTCTCCCTCCTCAGCCAATCTTCTGGTCAGTTATGCTTACCTTGCAATAAAAATAAATGGCCTACGGATGCAGTAGTGTTCGCTATCAGGGCACGTAGAAGAAAATGCTATTCTTGTTTGATAGCGTTTCTATTTTGGGCTTTAGCGATAGAAAACCTTATGTAGTGAAGGTAAATGCTCGAACATTTGCTCCTTAGCAGTCAGATCTCTACCGCTTGCGAAGACTATTACTGCGTGTTTGGCGTTCGTTTATGCTTGGGCCGTGTTCTCTCTTAATGTTTCTGCTTGTCTAATATAGGTGTTACGGGTTGGTAAATATAGTACTGCTAATGTTGTCATGCTTCGCCCTGAATTAATGCTCAGACTCAGTTCCAGTTCAGCAGTACCGTTGAATTGGCCCATTCCAAGGGAGGACATATGTGGTAGGTTACTCCATCACTTTTGAGCCCCCAATGTAATCATCATAATTCTTTTGTTCATATTCTTTCCTATTCTTTCAGGGGTCGCTTCAAAATGGAACGGCCGAATGGATCGACGTTTGATGTAGCCATACCTACAGTTGTGCTCGAGTCTTTCGACGAGAAGAGTGCTGGCAATATTGAAAAGAGCGTAGAATGACATGATTCAGTTCGATAGACATGAATATTGTACTTATTATTTTATAAGCGGAATGGAATTGGTAGTGCTAGCAGAGACCTGTAGGCCTTAAGAAAAAGTCAGAGGCTGGTGCATCCTATTATTTGAGCATAGACGGGTTTCGTTTCACCGTAAGCAGTCGTTTCCTGATCAGTTTTGTTCTTACTTCCTGCTTTTTGTCACTTTTTAGCTTATTTCTTCTCATCATATGTGGGACAACTCTCTTTGAAGTTGGACTATTCAGGTCGCAGTTGTCCCGCACCGGCGAGTATTTAGAATGAAATAGCTGACAGAAGTCTGCGATGCTGCATCTTGCATGTTAAATTTATTTATAATTAGTCTATGTAGACTTCAAATGTTAGGTGTCTTTGCAGCAACTTAGTTCATAGTTCCTTCTGAACGTAATGTCTTGAGCAATTAGCTAATTCAATAAATATAACACTTAACTATTGAAGGAGATAATGGTTGCCACGGCCTTTGCCTAGCTTAATTCAGTATTACTACTTCAGTACTGATGAAACTAAAATTCCAAAGAGCTCTCGCTATCGTCTGTGATGCTTTTCAGAAAGGTAAGGTTTTTTTCTTTCTCAATTAATATGGTCTAGTTCGGAGGCCGGTGTTAGACTTTGCGAATTGAGCGATTCGTTAGGCAGTGTCAGACTTTGCGAAATGAGCAATTCGCGAGGCTAAGTCAGACTTTGCGAATCGAGCGATTCGCTAGCGTCTGCGGTCGCGTCGCGGCCAGTGAATCGCTCAATTGGCTGGTACCGCAACGCGACCGCGGACGCTAGCGAATCGCTCGATTCGCAAGTCTGACATCGGCCTCAGCAGCGAATCGATTGATTTGCAAAGTCTGACCCCGGCTTAATGTACATAGTACACATATGGCGTCGGTCAAATAACCAGTTGAAATTATCGTGCTCCATTGACAACCCATGTTTTTGTTTTTCACAGCAGAGACTTTTTACCAAGGCATGTAAACAAGTGCTCGTCGGCGGGTGGCACTGCATGAAAATCGGTCCTATCGCATTGAATTTCTTATAAGATCCAGGGTTTCTATCTTATCTACTGTCACTTAATTTGTTCTATCTTTACCTTTTCTTACTGGGAAACCTCATATTTACATCTACTTTCAAAAACTATTGTTTCTATTCCTCTGGAAAGCAGTCTATACTAGTTTCCAAGTCTATGTCTCTAACCAGCCGTCTTGATTCTTCTATGTATTATGAGTAGGTGGTGAAAAATCTTTTCTACGAATCAGGCTAGTTCCGCTATGAATGCGGTCACACAAATGTTGCATCAAGTTAAGTTAATGGTGAAGATTTCAATGAGCGCAAATATAAAAGATTGTGTGCCTACATCTACCATGCTCCAGCTCTCTTTAACTATTCGTTATATAATTGACAGAAGAGCAGTGTTTCGTTCTATTTCATTAAGATTTTAATTGCAGGTGAGATAAGCGCGAACACCCTTATTTGCCCTTCTCATTACGATTGCTGTCAATAGTGAAACCGAGTGTCGTCCAGCTAGGAGGAAGGGGAAGCGTGCGCATGTAGTAATACAGTTTGTTGAACAAGGAAGGAAGCTTTAGGATGGGTGGAATGCTATAAAATCGTTACGCACCCCGGGAACTTTTTCCCTCCCTCTTGCCAAAATTGGAATTTCTGTAGATGGCAGCAACGGTCGCACCACACGTTCCTTCTCCCCCTTCCCCCCCCCCCACTTACTGAATGATAATGTCAAACCATTGATCTGCTTACTATAACGCCTGTTCATTTATTTAGCCTATTAAAGGCACAGTTTTGCAAACGTGGGCTATTTTTACCACTTTGCTGTTAACTTTATCGATTGGCCTAGACCAAAGTCCTGCGAAATTTAACAACACTGAGCAAAAACTCCGCTAACATAGGCGGCGATGTTGCCAAAGTTTGACCTCATTTTGTACGCCTTCACTTAATTGTTCTACATCGTGGGCTAAGCCTTTGAGTCTGTTTTAATAGGCTCTTGACTATTTTGCGTTTCATCATGTGCAGCCCTCTCGTAGGCTGCTTGGGGTATGCTTTTCAGGTATAATAATAGGTATACTACTTTTTTTCGCTTGTATTTGTTAGGTCAAGCTCTTTCTCACGCATTTCCGTCGTCTGTTCCGGCGTGGGTTGAGTGTGCAATTAAATTTATGAAACCCTGTAATATTCGTTCTTGTGACCTTCCTTGCTATTTTTGATCTAGGTATCTCCATTAGACTGACTCTATGCACACTATGTCTTTCTAGATTGTCGGACTGCTTACGTACCACATCCGGAGATGCCACCTCTATTGACCTCTTCACAGGTATATAACGGATCAGCTTATCACCCTAGGGGCTGAAAAGTCTTCGAATAGAAGTCGTAGTTAGTACTAAGTGATGAAACTAACTAGTGATTTACATTTGAAAAACTAGTCCATGTCATTTTTTTGGCAATTTTGGCAGTGCTCGAGGTCTCCCTAACAAGGAAGGTCTTTCAGGACATGGAGCGTTTTTTTGAAATGGTTTTCTGCATGTTGTAGAGGCTCATGTGAGGAACACAGAACCATGATCCATTTTTCCTGAACGCCCCAGGAATGTCAAAACAGCGGTGAAGAAATGGTCCAAAGTTCGATCCCCGTGATGACAAATTTTTGCAATTTATGTTGGCGCCTCCAAATTGCCGCAAAACACGACAATGACATCTATTCTCGACGATGGCGCCATTTGGCGGCAATCTGGGGCGCCAAACTATATTGCAAAAATTAGTCATCACCGGGGATCGAACTCTGGACCATTTCTTCACCACTGTTTTGACATTGTCAAGAATAGATGCCACTGTCGTGTTTTGCCGCAATTTGGAGGCGCCAACGTAAAATG